CTCTGGCTCCTGTTAAATCTTACATTGTATCAAGGAGAACTTGCCAGGTAACTGGGTGGAGAGAGGTGCTCCCCTCGAATTTGAGGGAGTGATTGCTGATGTTTGGTGGTGCTGGTCACTGTCTTTCAAATAAATCCCTTCTTCCAAAATTTAATGCCATCAAAGCTTGGCATTTTAGCCTAAGCTTGGTACTCCGGATTGACTTACCCCTTTTCAAGCACCCCCTTTCCCATGCCAGTTTCAAGTGTCATTCGAGCCGGCATTGATGGTGAGTGTGCTGTGCCGCGGCGGGACCTGGCCTGTTCAGCCCCCCGAGGTGCCAGGCCAGCTGCGTGCTGCGGGCTGACCAGGCTGGTAGCGCCAGGACCAAGTCTAGAGGAGCTGGCATTCTGACTGCACATGAGGCTGGCTCCTGGAAGCTGTCGGAAGGCCCCAGCTAGGACTGTGCAGAATGAGGGTACCCGATGCTCCCCTGGGTGCATTCATGCAGATGAGCAGGGGGCCCCTCCTCTCCGCCAGCCGTCCAGAAATGTCATAAACTATTCACACGTGTGTGATGTGCCGTGTGAACAGTGTCTCCTGGAGTTGTGCCATGTACAGCCTGCTTCAGAGAACCTGTCTCCCAGTGACCCCAAGTGACCCCGGGCTCAGGGAGGAGCCCCGAGGTGCCTGGCGTGCAGGGCTGCTCAGGAGGGTGTGGCTGTGGAGGACAGCCTGGCCTGGCCTGGCCTTCTCCTGGGGCGGGTGGGCTGTGCCATCCTGCTCGGTCACAGCTACTCCCAGGTAAACAGTCCTGGCTCTCCCTGCATGTGGTCCCGTGAGCCTGAGCCTCCTGGTGAGCCCAGGGGTGGGGCATGGTACTCTAGACCCTTGATCAAAGTAGCCACCATTCAGGTATTTCCTCACCTCCCAGTGTTCCTCGCTGGCTGTCTCTTCCTTCTCGCTGGCTCTCCCCCTCCCCTCTTTAAACTGGGGGAGGGGAGAAGGAAGAGACTGTCTTTGATCTCAGTGGAGGAAAAAAGTCTGTTCTGTTCAGGCTTTTGGCTAACACAACAAACAGTGTTTAAAATTTAACTTTGCTTAATTAATTAGTAATTCTGTTTAATGCTGTCTGATCTCCCTCCAAAAGGTATTTTGAAGCTTGAGAAGGGAACATCAAAGGGAGCCGGGTGAAGATGGTCAAGTAATGCATTTAATCTGGCAGTTGCTGGGGGTGGAGAGATGCCAGGTTGGGAACTAATGTGGGAGGGAGCCACCATCTGGTAAACAGCGCCAGACAGCTCCTTGGCTCGCCCTTGCCGTGGCTCAAGGAGCAGCTCCCCGGGCACCTCCCTTTGCTTTCCCCTCCGTGCGGCTGAGGGCTGGTTTTACGAAAGCACAGCTGACTCTTTCTTCTGTGATGCTGGGTCCGGTCGGGCAGGTTGTGTACTGCACGGGGCTTCTGGCAGTGAGGAGGTCAAGCCCGCAGGGTCTCATCAGGCACACACCCTCCTGGAGCGGAGGTCTGCATTGGGGGGGGGGGAGGTCCTCGTGTCCCTAAAGTGCATCGCACACTTCTCCGTCAGGGGCCAGGAGAGCACGTATTTTAGGCTCTGTGGGCCATGCCGCCTCCTGGCTGCTCTGCTGTTGCACAGCGAAACAGCGTGTGTGAGCCTGCCTGTGTCCCCGTAAAGCTTTATTTACAAAAGAGCCCATGGGCTGGGTTTGACTGGAGAAGGGATGTGGTTTGCCAGTCCTGCCCCAGGTCGCCAAAGGCACTTCCGGGGCCCATGAAAGGCTTTGCTTTCCTCTGTCTCTTCCCTCCCTTTCCTCCCGCCATTCCATGTTTCTTTTTTTTCAAATCAGCGGTATCTCCCGTTATCATTGTGACTTACAGTTGAAGAGTGATGAGTCTCCCTGAAATTATGACCCCAAAAGTCTGTCCTGGGGAAAACAACCACTGGTTTGAAGGAGAGTTAAAAACAGAGAGGGGAGCCAGATCTCAAGACCACAGCTCAAGACCGTCTCCCCCTGCTTCTCTGCTCCCACTGCTTCTCGGCAGTGCTCGGCTGGCCCTGGGCGGCTGCAGCGGGCACCTCCCTGCCCCCTGCAATTGTGTGCCCCCGTGGGTGGAATCGTGGGGCGCTTGGCAGAGGAGAGGCTTCATGTGTGACAGCAGCTTCTGCCCCGGCCTTGGGGTCCACGTGCTTCCCCCTGGACCGGGGCCAGGGCCTGACAAGATCATAGACCTTTGGTGGGGTGGAGGGGAGTTGTCCTCAGTCCTGGTGCCCAGGTCCCCAGGCAGGGTGGCTCCCAGCGCTGCCACCTCTCTGTGCTCAGTCTCGGGCTGGGAAGGGCTCGCCCAGGGGGTGTGGGGGGCATTTTCTGGGCTGGGCTGCGACGGGGACCTGTTGGTGAAGAGAAGATGATGTAGGACTTAGGAAGAGAGTAAGGGGTCAAAAGGGGCCCCCAAAAGAAGAGAAAGGATGGGGAGGACCCAAGGGTGCACAGGCTGCTCGCATGCATGTGTGTTGGGAGGGGGGTGCTCCAAAGAAGGAGAAAGCAGGGACAGAGGCTTCTTTTCTTTGGGTTTTATCAAGTGGAACTTGAAAGGCAACATTGAACCTGAAGGTGGTTTTCTGATAACTTCCCTTTGAACTTGAAGTTTGGTTTCGATAAGCCTGGCCGGCTTACATCTCCAGCCAGGACCTCTGCGGAGGGAGGCAGCAGCTTTGAAGATGGAGCTGGCCTTTGTTTTTCTTTCTTCTTTTTCCTCTTTTTTCCCCTCCTTGGGGAAGTGGTGGGGGGTGAGTAGAGAATGTTGCAAGCCATGAAATCACGATGGTTTCTCTAGTCGGGCAGGTTTGGAGTGAGAGGAATCATCTGGGCCTGGGTTTCCAGCAGGGTAGCCCACAACCTACAGACACCAGCACTAATTGAGCACTTACTGCGTTCAGGCCGCTGCACTAAGTGGGCATGTCCTACTTAGTTGTCTCCTCCCAGTCGTGAGGGAGAGACCATTTCATCCTCACTGTGCAGGCTTGGAGGACAGAAGTCCAGCACCTTGCCCGCGGCCGCCCAGGCCAGTTGGGAGGAGAGGCGGAAGATGTGCCAGGATGTAGGCCCAGATATACCTCTTAACCTCGACACCCCCACCGAGCTCAGCTGCCCCCATGCAGACGCTAGGGCTTGCGCAGAGGGCTTCACTTGGTGCAGGGAGTGAGGAGCAAGCAGGAGCCTTAACTTTCAGCCAAGCCTCTAGACATGTGGCCTTGCATATTGCCTTTACGTGGGGGTGGGTGGCCCCCAGCTCTGTGGCCCGATGGAAGGGGCTATGCACCAACCGTCTGGCCCCATAGCAGTTGACAGCTCTGGCCCAGAAGGACACCAGCAGGTCTGTGATGGAGGCATCTGGTTGATGCAGGTTGTAGGCTCTAAATTGAGCCCCTGAGTTCCTCGGGACTTGGGGTTAGGAGCTTCTGGTCACACCCAAGAATCCCTCCTGGCCATTGAGGTGTTGGCTTTGGAGGAGCAGGGAGCGCAGGACTTGGCTTTATCCACCGTATCAGACGTAGTCAGCATCAGTGACTTCTCCCCCTCCATGACCCTCTAGCAGCGAGGATGTGGGGGCAGGGCGGGGCTCCGGGAAGCTGGGCAGTCTTCTGGTCTGTCCCCCGTCTTCTGGGCCTGTCCTCATGGGCCTCATCCTGCCAAACCAGCAGGGAGGAGCTGCTGTCAGCAGGGCCACTAGCTGGAGCCCTCGCCAGTCTGGGGAGCTGTTGCCTTGTGAGGGGACCCCTGGGAGGTGGAGGCTCCCTGCGTGCGGCTGGGTGCGCCCGTTATATGGGAGAAGGGAAGGAGTGCCAGAGAACGGAGCTGGGCTAATCAGCTGCTTCCCTGTCCCGCCGTCTGGACCCAGGGCCCGGGGCATCCTTATCTCTAGTTCCTGCCTCCTCCCTGCCCCACCCACCCAGCTGGGGCTGCTGCACTTGATAAAGGCCTGTGTCCGCTTGACTCCCAAACTCAGTTCTCAGTCCTGGTTCCCAGAAGGAGGTGGGGCTGCCTCCTTCCCTCCCCTGCCCCTGCCAGGCTTGCCCTGGACCCTGTGTGCTGGGCCTGGCTCTTAACCCTTGAACGGATACTCGGGGGCTGTAGATCCCCCATTGTATGGTTGGGGGAACCGCTACGTGCAGCGTAGGATCAGAACCCAGGGAGAGACGGCTGAGTGAGGCGATGGACAGGGTGGGTTAGTCAGTACTGCCTTGGGCCTGGCCTGGCACAGTGCGGTCAGATGGGCACCTACGGATGCCCTAGCTGACAGTGGGGGCCCACAGGAAGGGGTGGAGCGGGAGGGCAGAGACCCTGCCACACCTTCCCCAGCAGCCGTTTTTGGGTCCTGTCGGAAAAGCTGTGGTATAAGATATGGTGGGGCACGGGGGTGGGAGGAACAGAGCCCCCCCGCTTAGTTTCCTGGCTGACGGCCACATTTCCCCAGGCTTTGGCCTTCTTTTCTTTTTAAAGATTTATTTATTATTGATGCATACAGAACTGGGGTACAGGCAGAGGTGCAGGAGCAGTGAGAGGATTCACCAGAGACAGAGTGGGGAGCAGAAAGGCAGATGGACACTGTACCCTGCTGAGGGGAGCAGCGGGCAGGTCGGGAGAGGTCTGCTGCCCCATGTGGGTCACCTCCGGGACAGGGATCGAACTCGCACTGAAGCGGCTGCAGCCAGCTTGCAGTGCTGCGTCCTAACCTGCTGCCCCACCAGGGAGGGCTGGCTTCTGCCTTCTAGGACATTCCGCCTCCGGGTGGCGCTTTCCCCGGAGTCTCAGCTCCCCACAGGGCCCTTGGAGGCCACCCTCAGAGCTGGTAGAGAGCAGAGCAGTCTGACCCTCGCAAATGGCACCCTGGTCCGCGGGGGTGAGGGAGGAGGTGGGGGGTCCAGCTGGCGTTGAGCTGAGCAGCATGGTCAGGTGTGAGGTCTCTCCCACTCATGCCTCCTCCCTCCTCTCCCCCACAGTGGCCCTGCCTCCAGAGAAGACCGAGGGGCTGGCCAGCGGAGATGAGAAGAGGATCGAGAAGGCCAGTGAGTCTTGCCCGGGCTCGAAAAAGCAGCTGAAATTTGAAGTAAGTTTCCTCTCTATGCCAGGGCCTGGAGACAAGAGTTTTCTCTTCTCTGTGGTGCTTTTTGAGGAGGGAAGTTGACGCCCACCCAGAGGCGAGGGCCTCCCCTCCTGCAGGAGCAGCCCAGCGTAGGTGCCGCCTCGGTCCCCCCACCCCCGCCCCCCAGCGCTGCCTCACTCCGCAGAGCCCAGGCGCCCTCTCCGTGTGGCGGGCAGCCTGGTGGACGCGTGGGCGAGGAGTGGACAGGAGGAGCTGGCCGCCGCCTCCCTCGCTGGGCCCAGCCTCTTCTCTGGTGAAGCTGGCCCTTCCCGCTCCCGAGGCTGTTCCGGGGAGCACACGGGGGCTCTCGGGTGGGGTGGACCACCAGGAGGCAGAGGTGGTGGCCTCGGGCCGGGCCCTGGCTGGGCCTGGGCCTCTGGCCCCCGTGGGATGGCCAGACAGGGAGCTGGCCCCTAGGACTCCGTGTGGCCACCTGCCCCGAGGCTGTGCTGTACTTGCCTTCTGTGTGCCAAGCCCTCGCCTGCCCTAGCGGGCCCCCGGCTTCTCTTCACTTTCCCTTCCCCTCCTTCCTTCCTTTCCACCTTCCGCATGAGGCTCCTGGGCGTAACTGCAGAGCCAGACACTGGGGTGCTCCTCAGTGCCACAAGCTGCTGAGTGTCCAGTGCCTGGAGGGTGTCCACAGAGTCCCTTCCAGCAGTGCCGATCGCGCTGCTGCTCACGGGGCAGGGTGTGGTGAGGGGGACCGAGCAGTGGCCCCTACCAGTGACCACGCGTCTGTGACTGCCGGGCCCTAGGGGCTGGGGAGGGCGGGCCGCCGTCAGGCAGAGTAAAGCGATGGGGCTTGGGGCGCTCCAGGGGTGCGTGGTGCCCGGGGGAGGAGAGAGCTGCAAGCAGCGGGTCTGGGCTGAGCCTCCGAGCACAGGGAAGGCCTCAAGGTTGAGAATGGGGGTGGGGGGTAGCCAGGGAGCTTTGGGGATAAAGCACCCCTGGCAGAGGGACCAGAAGGGGCACAGTCCTGGGCCCCAGCCAGCGCTGGCACACAGCAGGGTCTGCATTGGTGGTCACATGGGTGGCGGGAGAGAGGAAGACCAGGCGCAGGGGTCCAGCCGGTCACTTTTTGGGGCCCCGCATGCAGGAGCTGTGCGGGCAGGCAGCAGCTGGTTGTCTGCTTCTTTCGGGAGCCCATCCAGGTCCCGAAACTTCTGGGGGTGCCTGGTAAGCTGGGGCCGAGCCAGAGGTACGAGAGGAAGCTTGGGCGCAGATGTCTTTCTTTCCTGGAAGCCCAAGGTGGGGGTCTGCTGGAGAGGGGCCGGCTGGCTGCCTGCAGCCCAGTGAAGGGTGTGCTCGAGAGCCCAGGTGGGGGGGACCAGAGGGCCTGGACAGACTCGGGGAGTGGGTGGGAGTGCCTGAGTGTATGAACTGCAGGCCCCACTGTCTTGGAGCCTGGCAGGGGGGAGGGAGCAGGGAAGCACTGTGTGTTGGTGGGGGCACAGGAGTGTGTGGGTTGTGCCACATGAAACGGTGCCCAGAGAGTAGAGCTGACTTGGCAGGTATCAGATGGCATGTCACAACTGAGGGAAGGCCGACTTTGAACTCAGCGTGGGCCACCGAGCCCGCTGGCGGGCCAGGGCCCCGAGCTGCCTCCGGCTGCCGTGCTGGGGGCACGGCGGCCTGTGGGGGCTGGGGCCGGGCCGGGGCTGCTGCCCGTGGGGCCTGGGCGTGGCCAAGGAGAGGCAGGGGCTGGAGCCAGAGGGCCTGGGAGCACGTCTTCTTTTCCTAGACCTGCTCGTGAGGGCACTCGTGAGACCTGTCCCCAAAGGCCACCGTCCCTCAAGCTCTGTCTGTGTGGCTCCCACGTCCAGCCCTGAGGCCTGTGGAGTGGGGGAGGGGCGACAGCAGAGTCAATGTCAGACGGATCACTGCAGGAGACAGCGGCAGCTGCTGCGTGAATCGGGCTCTCACCCCTGTCTTCAGTTCCCCCAGACAGACCACGTGGCCTTGGGAGGTGGCCCCAGGAGCAGCGAGCAGGACCCCAGGGCAGAGTTAGTGGGTGGGTCACCGCCCGGGGCGCAGGCTGAGGGGACTCCCCCTCAGCCGTACAGCTTGCGCTCAGCTTTGTCTCCAAAAGGTGCTGTCCACTGGCTGGCCCCTCCTTGGCCAGTCCCTCTAGGTATTCCACTTGCCTTCTTGGCTGCCCTGGGGCACAGCCAGGAACTGGCCACCAGGAACTGGCCATTGCAGCTAGAGGGAAAGGCCACAGGGACACCGGGGGTGGCGGGGGGTGGCTGCCGCGTGCCCAGCAACCTTAGGAGAGGGACGCTGTCATTGCCCACCCACACTTTATATGCGAGGAAACTGAGGCGTCGAGCAGCCATGTCCAGAGTCACAGGGCTGTGGGCACCAGCTTGGCCACCCTGGGGCTGCCTCTGGAGTTTCAGCTTTTTTTTTTTTTTTTAAAAGACTTATTTATTTATGTGTACAGAGCTGGGGTACAGGCCAGAGGTGAGAGTGGGGTGGGGGAGAGGATTCACCAGAGGCAGTATGGAGAGCAGAACAGGCAGATGCACTGAAATCCACTGCTGAGGGGAGCAGCAGGGAGACAGGAGGGGTCTGCTGCGCCCCGTGGGTCACTCCCTGGCTGGGGCTCGAATTCGTGTTGCTGTGGCTGTAACAGCTTCATAGTGCTGCGCTTTTGTGCCACCAGGGAGAGCCCTGGACCTTCAACTTTTAGTGTCAACTTCTGCTGCCCAGGTTACAACGTGGGGGTCCTCCCGTGGCTTCCCATGTCACCATTCTCTCTGCCTTCCAGTAGTTTCTAACCCTTGGTTCGAGAGCCACAAAGCCTCTCTGAGCCTCTGCAGAGACCCTGGCGCCCCCGCAGGCATCTCCCTGGGTCAAACCACCACCTGTCCGCCTCTCCTGGGCCCGGCACGCCTCGTCATTGTGCCCCCGCCTTCACGAGGGACCAGGCAGGGCAGTGGGGTGATGGCAGCCATGACCTGGGCCCGGGTACCCCACGCTGCTGTTGCTCTGCTGGGTGACCACTGCGCGTGTCCATCCAGGAGCTGCAGTGCGACGTGTCCGTGGAGGAGGACAGCCGGCAGGAGTGGACCTTCACCCTGTATGACTTTGACAACAACGGCAAGGTCACCCGAGAGGTGAGTGCCCCTGCGCACCACACCCTGGTGTAGCCAGGGCCTCTGCTGCCTCCCTACCCTGCTCCTCCTGGGGCCATTGAAGGGTGGGGCAGGGAGTGCAGCTACTGGAGCTTCAGGCCCAAGAGGGGAGTGGGAAGAAGTGACAGGAAGGGGCCTTGGGCTCCCTTGGGGGAAGGCAGCACAGAGCCCCCAGGCCTCCTTCGAGGAGGACCGTGGCCCAGTCTTGTCCTGGTCTGCTCCCTCCCCTCTGGCTCCGGAGCTCTGGGCTGGGCTGGGGCTAGTCGGGCCACGACCCTCCTCAGCCATTTTGCCCAGGAGCCAGGGCTGCTGGGCACCCCAAGGTGTGCCCACAGGGGAGGGAGCCCCAAGAGCTGCCGGCACCTGATCACAGTCTGTCGAGCCTGCTCTTGCCCTGACCCTCCGCATGCCTGTGTCTCGCCCTCCGCCTCCTCCCATCTGTCCTCCCTGTTGCCCTGTCTCTACGCCCTGTCAGTACCTAGGTGCCTGGGTGTGCTACGTACCAGGTGCACAGGCACACTGGGGCACAGCACGGACACAGCTCCCAGCTCTGCGATGCCCCCGGAAGAGGGAGGCAGCCCCCAAGCCAGTTTAAGAGAGCCAGTGGTGGCCTCCAGGCTGGCCAGGGTTGCATGGGGCCTCCCTGAGGAGGGCGCTGGGCTGAGCTCTGCAGCTTCCAAGCTGTGGGCAGAGCGGGCAGCTCAGAGGGGAAGGCCTGCTGTCAGGTGCCGAGGCTGCGTGTCGGGAGAGACAGGGCTGCCAGCAAGGCGGGTCACGTGGGGCTCTGAGGCCCAGGCAAGCCACCTAGCCATGACTCCAGGCGTTCAGGGAGGCCAGTGAAGACGGGTGTAAGCAGGGCGTGACCTGGTCTGAATTATCGCAGGGTCTCCACGCGCCTGTGCCCGGAGCCTGGATGTCTGTCACCCTTCTGCCTACTTGCCCGCTCCTCTACTCCTTGCTGGCATCCTCTCCCTCCTCGGGAGGCCCTGCCTCTCGCTGCAGGTCCGCACAGGAGTCTGGCTCGCGTGGCTGCACACCTGCCCTCGCCCACCTTCAGGCGTGTTCCCAGAGAGCACTGGAGCTTTGCTATCTCAGCTCCCGACCCTTGTTCGGGGCTAAATATCTCCTTTTCTGCAGATGGTGCAGGAGAAACTGCCAGAGAGCAGGCCTGCTGCTCAATAAAGCCACCTCCTCCTCAGGCTGTGGCGTAGGTAATGTTTGAATGGGTTGGTGGGAGAAACTGCGAGTGACTTCCAATTGGTAGGGCTTTTTGGAACGGAGGTGCGAGGTCCAGCATGAACATGCTGCGATGGTAGTTAAGACTCGGCTGAGGGCCCTGCCTCAGGCATGGCTGGATCCAGCGACCTGGTGTCTGAAGGACTAGCTTCTCTTCACGACGTTGCTGCTTCTGCGTTCTCTGCTATCAGGCAGGCTCTCCCCTTGACAGCAGCAAGTTGGAGGTTGGCTCTCTCCCAGCTTGTCAACAACCTCCCACAGTCAGGGATTCCAGAACCAAATCTCATGGGCCCAGTTGCATCACACGGCTGACTCTGAACCGGCATTGTTGCCTTTGTGATGCTTGAAATGGCTGAGCTGTGTCATGTGCTGATTCTGGAGCTGGAGGGACGTTCTCTGACACATGAGCTGCGTAACTGGAATGGAAGGGGGGGACCTTCATCCCTGCAGGTTCAGCATCCACAGACTCAGCCGACTGCAGGTAGAAATACCTTCTGTATGTTAAGCCTACATGTACGCAACATACGCACATCTTTTTCATGTCATTATTCCCTAAATAATACTGTATAACACTATCTACAAAGCACTGGCGTGTGTTAGGTGTTCCAGGTAATCAGAGATGACCCAAAGCCACAGGGAGGATGTTTGTAGGTGACGTGCAGAAACAACGCCATTTTCTGCAAGGGACTTGAGCATTGGATTTTGGGCTTCGAGGGAGGACTGTAACATCAAAGATCATTATCAGATAAAGAGGGGGACTCCGAGCAGGCCAACGCCGCAGAGGGCCTGGGAGTGCTTGGCGGCCCCTCTTGGTTTGGGACCCCATGGAGGGGAGGATGGCGAGGTGAAACCCCAAAGCCCCTCCAGCTGTGATGCTTTGTGCAGGGTTTTCCAGAGTGAGGGACCCTGTATCTTCTGAGCCTATCAGGGAGGCAGCCGGCATTTCCATACAGGGACATGTGTTGCAGGTTGGAAACCTGGGTACCTGGGCTCTTCTGGGGTGGCCCTGCTGTGTAGGGCCACTTGGGCGGAGACTGGATTGGTCAGGGCTGTGGTGGCAGCTCCGGTCTCGACACCAGGGACCTGCCGGCTGCCTTCATCTTTCATTTCTGGTCAGAAGGTGCAGAGAAGCCTCACATGCTGACCGGGGGAGGTTTGTCCCCCTCTCAGAGATCTCGGGGCACCCTGTGGGTGGACACTGCTTTCGGGGTCTGCACTGCTCTTCTCTCCCCTTGGTAGCAAAGGGGCGAGCAAGAAGAGGCTGTCCAGGAGGGCGTCTCAGGCCGCCCTGAAGAACTGTTCACCGGGTCATGTCTTCCTGCTACCGAGAGCAAGGAGGTTGGCCTCCTGTCCAGGAAGGACCAGCCTGGTGTCTCCCCTGTCTATCTTTAGCCCCGAAGCCACTCCTCAAGCCTGGCTTAAATACCTTTCCCTTCCACGTCTCTGGCCATAGCATGCCAGCAGCCTCTCCATCTCTGCGGACTCAGCCCGGGGCTGGCGTCTGGGCTGCCTCCACCGCTCACAAGAAGGCTCCTGTTATCTGTAAGACGCCAGCTCGTGCAGTACATTCCCGCAGCCCCACTCCTGTGCGCGGCTGAGCAGCCGGCAGAGCCGACCTTGTGACGGGATTGCCACGGCCTGCTTGTGCCTCGACCCTGAACAGGCCAGAGCGGCTGGGCTGGCACCTCAGGGCCCCAGGCCTGGCCCGTGGTACTTGGAGGGTGATACTGGTGGACTTCAGTCACCTCATTTTTAAAATGGAGACAATCTGCTCCTTTTGTGGGCTTCCCAAGGTGCTGAGGGAGTGTGGGCACGTGTGGCTGGGCAGAGAGCAACGGGAAGGAGAAGAGGGGGAAGACAAGTCCTCTGTGAGCCTCACCAGAAGAGCTGGGGCCACCAAGCGAGCCAGTGAGAGATGGGCTGGCACCTGCGTCAAGAACTGATGGTCCCCACAGTCCCAATCTAGCCCTCATCTATCCAGGACCATGTCCCCAAAGGAGTTTGTTAAAAATGAAAATAGCGCAGGGAACAAAAGTAAAATAGGCAAAGTGGACATCACAATTGGAAGCTGCACCAGAGGGCATTCTCAGTAGTGAACGGGAAGCTGAAGTGAATGGCAAATTACACATCTGATAAGGGATTAATACCCACGATATATAGAGAGCTCCTACCACTCACCAGTAATGAAACAGCTCAAGGGGCATAAGAAGACATCTTTCCAAAGAAGATAGGCTAATAGCCAGTGTGCACATGGAAAGATGTTGACTATCACCTGGGAAACAACTCCAGACCACAGGGAGATACCACTCACACCCACCAAGACAAGTCCCACTAAGGTGGGAATGTAAAATGGTCCAGCTGCGGTGGTAAACAGGATGATGGCTCCTCAGGACATTATGTATAGAATCACCCTATCCTAGAACAATCTAGAAAGTCCACTTCTGGATTTGCACCAACAGAGTTGAAAGCAGGGTATTGAGAAAATACTTAATACCTGTGTTCATCACAGTATTTTTCACAGTGGTCAAAAGGTAGAAGCAGCCCGAGTGTCCAACATATGGATGGATAAACAAACTGGTACATGTCGATGTGGAATACTACTCAGCCATGAAAAGGAAGGAAATTCTGATACTTGCTACAACATAGATTAAAGATATTATACTAAAGTGAAAGCCAGTCACAAAGAGACATATAATGTCTGAATGCACTTAGAGGTGGACCTAGCATAATCAAATTGGTAGGGAAAGAAAGACGTTGGGTGGGTGTCAGATTTGGCAGGGAAAGAAGATGGGCAGTTGAAACACATGAAATTCATGGCCAATGTCAGAGATAATGAAGATGTAACAGGAGAGTCTGGATTGCTGGCTTCTCTGGGGTCACACAGCTTGCGTTGTCACGGGCTGGTCAGCTAAGCAGAAGCTGCTCCCTTCTGTGGGTACAGCCAGAGCTCTTGACCCTACCACTCATGGCCACCCAGCCACCCACTGCCTGGCTGTGGCAGTCCTTCATGTTGCAGCTGCCTAAGGCATTAGGGCTGTGAGTAAAGGGTGGCATGGGGCAGACAAATAACTGTCCAGGAGCCTGGCCTTCAGAGAGCAAATACCTTTTCTGGAGGTTTTCAACATTAAAGATGAATTCCCCACCGCCCCCCACCCCCAGTAGATAAGTGACCTTAGCAGATTCCCAGAACATAGAGGGAATGAGGAGGGACCTGGCCCACCCCTCCATGCCCTAGTCACGAGTCTTTGAGACACCTCATGGCACATGAATTGGAGAGGAGATGAGATCTGGCCAAGCTCTCACAGAAAAGTTTATCTTAGGGCCACATCCACTCTTACATTTGGCCTGGGGCAGACGCTGGCACAGCCCTACTTCTAGTTCTCCCTGGTCCACCTCTAGTCATCTGTTGCTACCTGGTGGACAGCGCCCACCAGAAGAGCCTTCTCAGGGGGCTGGGCACTGCCTCAACCCTGCAGGACAGCCCAGAATTACAAGGGGGCTGCCCTCTGAACCAGCACGGGATGGGGTTCTCTAGGCAGCTCCACAGTCATGCCACGGCCCCATGTGACTGAGCGGGGTTGTCCACTCCATACCTACCCGTCGCGGCATCGATGCCCCTGCTCTGGCCCACCCCTGCCAGCTCCCTAGGCTCCCCTCCGCTGAACCAGAGCAGAATCGGTTCCTCAGTTTGCACCAGGTCTTGAAGGCACATGTGGCCTCTGCTTCTTTCCCCAGGACATCACCAGCCTGCTGCACACCATCTACGAGGTGGTTGATTCCTCTGTCAACCACTCCCCCACGTCAAGCAAAACTCTGCGGGTGAAGCTCACCGTGGCCCCCGACGGCAGCCAGAGCAAGAATAGCATCCTTCTTAATCACCCAGGTGAGGAGGCCACCGGACTCTCAGGAAGGCCCAGATCCCCACTTGGGAATGAAGGGAGGGTGTCTGGGGTGGGTGCTGGGAGCTACATTGTGGACAGGTAGGATGTGGGAGATGCTCAAAGGGTAAGATTTGGAAAAAGGTTGAAGAGGGAGAGGATTCCCCATGGAAGCCTCTGTGTGAGCAAGGTGTTGGAGGTGGGGACGGGGGGATGGCCAGCAGCCAGAACCCAGGCCTGTGCTGTGATGGGGAGGTGAGCACGGAGGCCAGGTGAGGAGTCTGGTGAGGCTGGGGGAGGAGGTGACAGGACAAGCCGCTTCTTAAGACCTCTAGTCCCGGCTCAGAGAACCCTTCCCAGAGAGCCGTGGTGAGGCTGCCGTGGCCATTCTGGAAGGTCTGTGCGCCAGGCAGCTGGGAACCCCTGGGCAGGGCTGGGAGGCTGGCAAGCTCAGAGGCAAGCTGCTCACCGGGCTGTTTCTTGGGTGGGACTCAGACCTGCAGAACACAAGGCCCAGAGCAGAAACCAAGCCCGCAGAGGAGCTGCGAAGCTGGGAGAAGAAGCAGCGAGCCCCCCTCAGGTACCGTGGGTGGGGAGGGGAGGGGAGTGCAGCCCGTGGGCCTGAGCATGTGTTGAGCGCTGGCTGTGTACCTGCCTGTGAGGGCTTCTGGGCAGGGGCCTCCAGGCTCTGGCCTCCCAGGAGGTAGGGATTTCAGAAGATGAGTCGAACTAGGGAATACCACCCTGGCTGAACAGTGGTCTGCTTTGCGTTAGCTAACTGCTTTGCCCACCCCCACCCCCAACACGCACACATTCAGAGGGTTAGTGCTGGGCTGCGGGCCAGTTGTGGGGTCTGCCAGCCTCAAGTGCGATAGCTGTGCGGCTTCTGCTCCCACAACCCCTGGGAAACCAGGACAGGCGTTAGGCACCTGCCTGTGCTGGGTACACAGGGTTTGGGGCTTCGGGGTGTCCTTAAGTTCTTCACCAGTAACCCCCTCTCTTTTACTTTGGGCCTGTTCAAGTCCTTCCAGAGGTCCAGAGAAGCTGGCGGGGTCTGTCTCTCCACAGGCCCTGTGGGAGACAGAGGCCCAGGTTGCCGAGACGACCTCTCCCTGGCTTCCCGGCTGCCTACGGGGCTGCCCCGCACCACCCAGGCTGTACCCACCCGCTCACCACCTTCCTGCTGCAGGTTCCAGGGTGACAGCCGTCTGGAGCAGTCCGGCTGCTACCACCACTGCGTGGATGAGAACATCGAGAGGAGAAACCACTACTTAGACCTCGCCGGGATAGAGAACTACACGTCCCAGTTTGGGCCTGGTAAGGGTGCCCCTGCCTCTGCCTGGTGGGGTGAAGGGAGGGTGGGAGTGGGTGGTGTGGCTGCTGTTGCCCTGGCTGGGAGAGGGCGTAGCTTTCGTGGCAGGTAGTCTTCGTGATGACGTTAAATGTGTTTTAAAAATTAAGACAACACACACACAAAGGTCAACAAAATCAAATACTATCTGAGAGCGACGGTGGGTGCCTGGCCCAGACACCCCCGTTCAGCCTACCCAGCCCCGTCCCCCTCTCGGCAGCCATCTTGTTCTGCTCCTGGCTTCTTAGCTTTTGCTAAGATAAAGGCAGGGAGAGCTCGCACCATCTCACTTCCCCCACCGCCTTTCACCCTTCCTCATCCTATGTTTAACCCTCTGTGGGTTCCCTCTAGCTCAGGGGTGCTCCTGTCAGTGTCCGGTGTCCCCAGTTATCAGTGTGTCTGCCTGTGCTGGCTCTCTCTCAGGGGAGAGTTATTTTTAAAGGCCTAACAGATTCTTCCCAATGAACAACGATAAAGCTCCATCCCGTGAGACTCCCCCAAAGACAGCGAGGAGTAATGGGGAACCGCAGGGGGACTCTGACAAAGGTCTTTATCTGAGAACTGGGGCTGGGGGTGGTTTGGGGTCACGGTGCGCGCGCAGTAGGTGGTCATGGGATATCTGTTGCACTGGTTCTAGGCTCCGCGTCAGCCGCCCAGAAGTCAGAACTGCACCCCCGCACCTCCAATCCCACTCGGTCTCGCTCCCATGAGCCGGAAGCTGTGCACGCCCCTCACCGAAAGCCCCACGGCGTGGACCCAGGCTCCTTCCACTTCCTTGACGCCCCATTCGCCAAGGTCTCCGAGGTCCAGCAGCGGCTCCGGGGCACCCAGGACGGGAGCAAGCACTTTGTGAGGTCCCCCAAGGCCCAGGGCAAGGGCGCGGGTGTGGGCCACGTGGCCAGAGGGGCGAGAAGCAAACCCCCGCTGGGACCTGCCATCCCGGCGGTGTCCCCCTCCGCCCACCTGGCCGCCAGCCCGGTCCTCCTCCCCACCCTGGCACCCCTCGGGCACAAGAAGCACAAGCACCGGGCCAAGGAGAGCCAGCCGGGGTGCCGGGGCCTGCAGGCGCCGCTGGCCGTGGGTGCTGTCTCGGGGCGGGACCAGGTGAGGGAGCTGCCCGCCGTGGTGGCGTACGAGAGCGCGGCCGGCCAGGCGGTGCAGAGACACGAGCACCATCACCACCACGAGCATCACCACCACTACCACCACTTCTACCAGACATAGAGCCCCGAGCCCGCCGCCACAGGAAGGACCCCCACCCCGCCCCCAGGCATTCTTCTATTAATTATTGTTATTATGGCGATTATTGTTATTAATAATTATTGTTACTCCACTAATATTCAGCTAGCCTCCATGTAGGAGATATATGGAAACACAGAACTAAACTTTTATTTATATGTTGTGGGGACTGCATAACTCACCCAAGAAGTGACTCTGGGTTCGGAAGTGGCCTCTACATGGCAGGGGCTCCCGGGGGTCGGAGCTGCCGCCTCCAGGCGGGGTGCCCACACTCTTCCCAGCCTGAGGGCGCCCTGGGCCGGAGCTCTGGCTGACCCGGTCTCTTCCAGGAGAACACCCTCCCTGGCCTGGCTTCCAGAAACCCTCGAAATCTCCGAGAAGATAAACAGCTGCTACCTCTTAGTGTTATTCTGATTTTATTTTGCCCTTGACCGACTGTAACACCCCACAAGGGATTTCAGCGGACTGCAGGCACCACCTGCCCGGCCGGCTGCTGTGTTTTGATGTCCTGACCTAGACTCCTTAGCTGTCCTTTCTGGAGTCATCTTCCACACCTCCAGTGGGATCACGCCCTCGTCCCTAAACAGCCCCTCTTTTCTGCCATGCACAACGTGAAAATACACTTCGCCTCCTCTTTCCTCCCTGCTCCTCTCCTCTTTAAAAGACGCCCCTATTTAAAGACTGCCCCTGAAACCAGCCTTCTCCTTTTGGGAACCTCCTGCGAGGGAGCCCACTACATAAATAATCATGGTTTTCCCAAGATGGGGCAACTGTGTGTCGTTGGTTATGACCGAAGACGTGCAAACCTCGAGTTCTGCCGCTGGCTAATAGACACGCACCTCTGGCTCTGTGCAGAGCTTCTGTTTCTGCAGCCAGTGCAGTCCACTCCCACCCCCACCCTATGTATCCTTCTATAAATACATACTCTCAGGTATCTGTCTGGTGTGCAGGGGCAGTGGTTTGCTTCTCTGGATGCTTCCTGAGCCGATGTGACCCCTGTGCCTCCTTTGGACTCTCTGTCCAGCAGGTGTGAATAGCCACTGGTCTCTCCTGGGGGGGGCGCTCTTGTGGTTTGGGGACTAGCAGGTGTTGCAGAGCCCTGGTGGGGTTCAGACACTTGAGGATGTGGCCAGAGTTGGGGTTCTGGGACTGTGTCTTCTCAAAGCAGGAAATGGGGAGAGCCACTGTCAGTCCGTCGGGAACCGTGTGAAAAAGCAGAGATCTTAAAGGGAATATTTACAAAGTGTGGACGAAGGCGTCTGAAAACGTGCAGAATCGGAGTCTGGTGCTGTGTGCCGCTGTGCCCAAGGGCGGAGGGGGTGAGGGTGGGGAGGGAGGCTGCCAGCCTGTGGGGACCCTCAGGCAAATGAATATCCTGACCTCCCTGCCCTGTCCCCTCTGCATCGGGCTGAGACCTCCTTGGCTGCTGGGAGCCAGCAGGAGGGGAGCCCTTGATCTGGAGGTCACAGGGAGGCTGCTCCCCAGCAGGGTGGAGGGTGGAGAATGAGTCTGGAGGGACCCCAGAAGAAAGGGGCCGGCTGCCTGCCTTTCCACTTGGTCTCCCTGCTGGTGGGGTCTTTCCCAGAGCCTCTGGTGTTCACTTCATAGGGTTTCGAAGATGGTGAGCTAATTGTATTAGTTGCTGGCATTCCTGAGACTGGATGAGAGTAGTGAATCCTCACCAAGACCCTGTGAGGAAGCTGGAGAGCACACCAGGCTCAGAGGGGTTAAGTAACTGGGTTGATACCACACAGCACGAAACAGGGCAGAGACTCTAGTGGCCCCTCTGTGAGCTCGGAACCACGGAACTTGATGGCTTTGGTCAGTCAGACCCAAATACAGACTGACAGGAATGTAACCACGCCAGGGAAGGCAGGGAGGGAGCTGACTTTACCACGACAACAGTATCCAGGATGTGGGTGAAGCTGGGACTCGCTGGTTCTCTTGGATTTGTCTCTGTCCCCGCAGGCCTGCTGGTGGCACCCAGGCCACAGGATCAGTGGGCAAAGGGGTTTTCCGCTTAGGGGGAGGTGGTGGCTGGCCGGACTTGATCTCTGTCCTTGGACCAATCGCCATGGCCCACCTGAGGTCACACGTCTGACCTGAGATGAGGGGCCGGGTCTGTGCCAGAAGGTAGGAGAGGAGGGTGCTGAGCAGACAGGGCTGAAGTCCTGCAACCATGGAAAAGAGCTGGGAGGTGGGCCCCCTCCGGGAGCCTCCCACCAGGCCGTCTTGGAGCCCCTCCTCAGCTCTGAGGAGGTCCGTCTCACCCGGCTCCACATCTGTCAGAATCCCATTATTTCCTGGTGGTTGAAATTTACCTTTTTTTAAAGATTTATTTATTTGTGCATACAGAACTGGGGTACAGGCCAGAGGTGC